ACCTGTTATAAAGATGCTTCTTGGCTCTGGCATCTTCGATTTGGGCATCTCAACTTTGGAGGACTCGATTTGCTTTCAAAGAAAGAGATGGTGAGAGGACTACCTTGCATCAACCACCCTGATCAATTATGTGAAGGATGTTTACTCGGAAAGCACTTTAGAAAAAGCTTTCCAAGGGAGTCAAGTTCAAGAGCCCAAAAGCCTCTTAAGCTCATACATACAGATGTTTGTGGTCCAATAAAGCCAAACTCACTCGGTAAGAGCAACTATTTTCTTCTCTTCATAGATGATTTTTCACGAAAAACATGGGTGTATTTCTTAAAACAAAAATCAGAGGTTTTTGGAATATTCAAGAAGTTTAAAGCAGATGTAGAGAAAGAGAGTGGTCTCAAGATCAAAGCTATGCGATCTGATCGAGGAGGAGAATTCACTTCAAAAGAATTTCAAGAATTTTGTGAAGCCAACGGAATACGTCGACTTCTAACTGTTCCAAGGTCCCCCCAACAAAATGGAGTAGCAAAAAGAAAGAGTAGAACCATCCTCAACATGACAAGGAGCATGTTAAAAAGCAAGAGATTGCCAAAGGAGTTTTGGGCAGAAACGGTTGCATGTGCTGTTTATTTGGCTAACCGATCACCAACAAGAAGCGTGTTGGGAAAGACACCACAAGAAGCATGGAGTGGAAGGAAGCCCGGCATCTCTAATCTACGAGTTTTTGGATGCATAACTCATGTATACATACCCGACGAGAAAAGAAGTAAGCTGGATGACAAGAGAGAAAAGTTCATTTTCATTGGTTACGACAACAACTCGAAAGGCTACAAGTTATACAATCCAAATACAGAAAAAACAACCATCAGCAGAGATGTCATATTCGATGAAGGAGGAGAATGAGACTGTGGACTACATGCTGAGGACTACAACTTTTTCTCATACTTTCAAGAAGAAGACATAAAGCAGCCAAGGATCGAGCAAGCAAGAGAAGAGTCTACTACTCCACAAACAACAAGTAATCAAAGCAACTCATCGTCATCAACTTCAAGAGAAAATTCAAGTGAAAGAGTACCACGCTTCAGAAGATTAGAAGATCTTTATGAGGTAACTATGAATCAAGATAATCTTACTCTTTTTTGTCTCTTTGTCGACTGTGAACCCATGGACTTCCAAGAAGCCTAGCTTCACTTCCTAAAGGGCATAAGGAAATTGATGTGAAGCGGGTGTACAAAGCAAAGAAGAATTTCAGAGGAGAAATTGAAAGAAATAAGGAAAGAGTGGTGGCAAAAGGCTACAGTCAAAGAGTAGGCATCGACTATGATGAAGTAATTGCCCCTATTATTCGATTATAAACTATTAGACTAATCATCTCTTTGGCAGCTCAAAATAAGTGGAGAATACATCAAATGTATGTAAAATCTGTCTTCTTATAAAAATATCTGCAAAGTGGTAAAAATATCTGCAACTTGATCTTGAGACTTCACGTACTGTAATTGTATCTCCTTTCTTTCGATGCATTTTTTGATGTAGTGATAGCGTGTATCAATGTGCTTGCTTCTATCATAGAAAACTATATTCTTTTATAGCGCTATTGCAAACTTGTTATTGATACAAATCTTGATCGACTCTTCTTGTGGTAAATTTAACTCCTTTAATAAATGTCGAGCTAAGTGAAGACTTTATTATAATGAGAAACTTACTTAGAGTCACAAAATCAAGTTTAAAAAGGGGTGTTAAAATATAAACTTAATTTTTAGTTTTTAGGCCTTAGTTGTTTAAATAAAGCCGAATAAGAGCTTAATTTCTAGAAGCATGTTCTAGAAAAGTCTAATCTAGAAGCTTATTCTAGAGTAATCCATTCAGTTGTCTGGAATGTGTGGTAACTATGAAATTATAAAAAAAATTCTAGAGAGTCATTTGTAATCATTAGATTAAAATTGTAATTACACAATCCTAACCATTAATTTAGGAGGTACCACTAGTTAGGGGTGTAAAAGAGCCGAACACGAGCTAGCCCGGACTTAGCTCCTGTTCGGCTCGTTTATATTTCGAGCTCAAAAAGTGCATTCTTCTTCGGCTCGTTTGCTTAACAAGCCGAACTCGAGGCGTTCCTGTACAA